CCTCCATACTCCTGCCTCCACCTTTGCCTCCACCGACCGCATTACCAGACAAGATTACATCATAAATGTGTTCCTACGCTAAACTGCCCTCGTGGAACATGAATAAAATAGACAGCGAAAAGAACGCACTTCGTTTAAACACTCGCTTTGTAGTAAAAAAAAAAGTTTTTTAGCAAAGTCACTAAAATGTTGATGCATGTGAAAACGTTGCATGAATTTATATCGTTATTTTATTTTTTAAATTCACTTTTCTTCTATCGAAATCTTTTTTATTCATGTTCCATGAGTGCAGTGTATCGTAGGAATGGGTGTTCTGTTCAGCTCCTCCAACAACAAGGTCAAGCCAAAACGTCGATGAGTGAAGTTGCACGTTTAAGCCACAAGAGGGCAATAACCTACTGGCTTAAATGTTCAGCCACATATTTATTTTATTCATGTTCCACGAGGACAGTTTAGCGTAGGAACACATTTATGATGAACTGTTGTCTGGTAATGCAGTCGGTTGTTCGGTTTAGCTCCGCCAACAACGAGGTCCGGCCATTAGGTTGTCTGCACGATTCGCCCTCCGGTGGCTCAAATGTGCAACTGCATATATAAACAAGTTCCCTCCAAAGGGTTGTCTGCTCTGAGTGGTTGAATATTTAAGCCAATAGGTTATCGCTCTCTTGTGGCTCAAACGTGCAACTTCACTCATCGACGTTTTGGTCGGACCTAGTTGTTGGAGGAGCTGAGCAGAACAACCATTCCTACGATACACTTAACTCATGGAACATGAATAAAAAAGATATATTTCGATAGAAGAAAAGCGAATTTAAAAAATAAAATAACGATATAAATTCATGTAACTTTTTCACATGCATCAACGTTTTAGTGACTTTGCTAAAAAACTGTTGTTTTTTTTTTTTTTACTACAAAGCGAGTGTTTAAACGAAGTGCATTACTTTCGCTGTTTTTCTATCAAAATATATCTACTTTATTTATCTTCATGTTATCTTTTCAACGACGAATGCGTGGAGAGGGTCCAAACATTCAGGTTTCTAGGTGTCCACATCTCCGCCGACATCTCCTGGTCAGAAAACCATGACCAAGAAGGCTCAGCAGCGCATGCACTTCCTGAGAGTCCTCAGTAAGTAGAACTTCAACACCAACCTGCTGCTGACCTACTACAGCTCCTCCACTGAGAGCCTGCTGACATAGTGTATCCCAGTTTGGTATGGCAGCCACGCTACTGCAGACAGAGAAAGACTGCAGAGAGTTGTTAAGACAGCACAGAGGATCATTGGCTGCCCTCTATCCTCCCTGATGGATTTTAACACCTCCCACTGCCTCAGCAGGACCAATACCATCATCAAAGACAGCTCACACCCTGGCTATGACCTGTATAACCTGCTGCCCTCTGGTAGACGATACAGGTGCATTAAAACGAGGAGGAGAAATAGATTCAAGAACAGCTTCTTCCCTAAAGCTGTAACCACCCTGAACTCCCATATGCATTGACCAGACTCTCTCGGGCTACTCCTGTATCACTGTTACAGTTATCTGTACATTACCCTGTCATATGTGCAATTTCAATCACGTGCAATAGTCCATTCCGCTGGACAACATACATGTGCAATATATATCAACACTACAACTTTCTCCATATTTTTTACCTAGACTCTTTTTATATTTTCTGTATATAATTTATCTTTATCATTTATTATTAGGGTTACGGCATGTGTAACCAGGCATTTTCAGGGCGTGTAAAGGGGAGCCTTAATGCAAGCGGAACATAGTCTTACTTCCGCCCGAACGCAATTGTGATCGGACCCAATCGCCACAGTCACAACTTCAGTTTTTTTAAAAGTTTTATTAAAGTTAGTTTCTATTTTCAAGTTTGTTTTTACATAGCATCTAAAATAAGTAGTAAAAAGTAAGCTAAAAATCCAACCAGAATACTTCCACAATGAACAGAACAGTAATAACTTTAGTCTTTTATTAGCAAAACAATTCACATTTACGATGGCCCCATCATCAGGAGTGCAACAACTTGGTTAACCCTCTTCTTTTGGCCTGAAACACAAGATGAAATAAAGACAAGGTTACAAAACACTTCAATTAACCAATACTTCTTGACCGGCTCAAACAGGCTACTGTTTAGCACGCTAACCGGCTACCCAGCAGCGTGCAGACGGTTTAAAACAAACCGTCTGCACGCTCTGGGGAATACTGGTCCTTCACATGAAACGTTAATCGCCAAAGTGAAGATGACCAGAAATGGAACTACGTACCGAGGTAATAATAGCAAAGTTCTTTCTCTGCGCCTTCACACGACGCCATTTTGCTACTGTCACAGGGCCGTATTACCGCTTCCTTCCGTTTCTAAAGGACACAGATCCGCTTCGTTATCCAATCACAAACGTCCGGCACGGCACCCACAATCCACCAGGTGATGGTTTGTGGCTTTCTATTTACTTTACTTGAAATACCGCCATCTACTGGTTTGACTGCGTATTGTTCTCTCATGTGTCAACGGTACAGATTCAGATACAGTAAAACAGTAAAACTATTTATAATCACTATCGGTGTAAATAAAATACATAAATAACAAACTTTAAAATTTGTAAAGAGATCAAAATGTAATAATGTTTTTGACCAATCATAGACACATTTAATTATGCATGTGTTTAAATAATATATAACGGTTCCTGCAATTATTAATTTTACTTCTATACTGTATATATTTAAACTGCTAGTACACCTGCTTCTGAAAATTGGCTAACTGGCCCAAAGACAATGCCATATATGCAATACAAATATAAACCACAAGAGGGCAGTAATGGTGCATGGAAATGGTAAGAGAATATGCGACGTCACGTCTTCATAAAAATGTATGAACAATTGTCACTTTATGCCACAGTATTTAAAAAACAATTTTGCTTTAAAGTGTATTGATATAATTGTTTGATTTATACATAAAAAATAATGCAACATACTGGGATTTAATGTATGAGGTAAAGAATGAAAATACAATATTTCTCAATTTCAGTCACACACGACTTAGACAATCTTTGATATACCACACAAACCAGAAGCAAATATAAAAGTTGTTGCTGCTCATGATAATTTTAAATTGACAAAATTTCCTCAGTTGATTTGTGGTTTATCTTCCAGGCCTTGCTGTTTCCGTTGCGTGTCATGCACAGGCTGCTGTAAGTGTGTCAGGAAACTTTGCTGGGTTTATTTGTGTGGAGGGTGCACTACACCACCCTCAAGCAGAAATTCTGAGCTGTCTTTTTTTTGGTTTCTTTCATAATACTAGACTTTTTTTTCTCCCAGTGACCCACAGAGTCCACAGTGAGTGGGTCCGGTACGATGGACAATCCAGTCAGTTTGGACACTTCCAAACAGAGAAACATAGCTTTGTGATTCACTGCTTTTTAAAAAAAAAAAGATTGTTTCACAACCCAAAGTTGGACAAAATCACAACCAATCTCTCATCTCGACCGAAGTGTGTAAAGTACTGTAAGTAAGCGAAGTAAGTAGGTCAGCACACATCTTTGAACCGCTTAAAATCCGTTCATTAAATAGCACATAAAACCACTCCGACTTCACCAACCAGTTCCACAATTATGCAAAAGTTCTGAATCGAAGCCAAGCGATGTCTTTGAAAATCCCCAGCATTAACATTCTGCTTAGCACTCTGAAAAACTTTCTGTAATTTTAATAATCCCTTCTAATCCCTTTTTTCACTTTTACATGGTGTTTTGCTTGATTTTATATGCAGGTATTCAGAGCCTGAGATCATCCAGCCTTTAAGGCTTACAATACAAATCTTTAGAACTGTGTCTCCCCACAATAGGTAAGAGTAGGGTAGGGTAAAGTAACAGCATTAATTAAAAGAAGAAAAGGAAAAAGAGGACTTAGCATACTAATAACTGAAATATTCATATTTGAAGTTGGCTCAAAGATTTTGGGTGGGCTGCTGAAACAGCTAATGCTAACTGTGCAACTCCTGCTAATGCAATTAAATATATATTCCATTCTATTTGATACTAAACAAGCATATACACCTACAGTTTACAGCAGGGGTTTCAAACTCCTGGCTCGCTGGCCAATTCCGGCCCGTGAACCCTTCAAATCCAACTGGCAACTAAATTATATAATTTTTTTTTCTCTCTTGTTTTGTTTGTTCATTAATTCATTTAAATGTGCACTGTTGTATTATACAATATTTATACAACGATCAACACAGTACAACGTCACTGGGTAAAGACTAAGTGTTGGTGATTTCACTGATAGGATGAAGTCTGTTTACAAAACAATTACAGTAACCGTTCCAAAGTATAAGCCTGCACACAGTAAACTCAAAAACTAAAGTTAAAAAAAGAATATGAAGCTCACTGTAGTGAATATGTTACATTAATGTATAAAAAAATCAAACCAGATTTTTGTGGGTGAGAAAAAGTCACATTCAAACTGCAACCTTAAACAAATTTAGGTGATCTCCCTTAATGCAAGGCTAAATTTGAATTGCTGGTTTAAGACAAACGGTACTCAGCTATTATATAAATCCTAGCAGGGACGACACAGAAAAAAAAAATGGACTACAGTAAAACCGCTACAATTTTAATATGAATGTCAGTTAGATGCTTTGTCCTAAAACCAACCGTTAGCTACAGCTGCTAACAATGCTAGCTAGATTGTCCATGTTCATTTAGCCAGTGTGGTTTGATTGTTAACTTGTTCTCAAGTTTAGCTATAGTTAAAGAAAAATCTGTAGTTCTAGAAAATACTTCTGAATATCAGGAGTGGGAGTAACAAACACCTTTACGAAGCGTAACACGACGACTAACTTACGAGAGTTTGTGCTACAGAAGCCTGGGTGGACATTTGACCTCAGTGCCTAGGCAATTGTTTACTTTCTTTACAGTTTCTTCAAGAGTATATTAGATTTGAGTTGTTGTTGTTTTTTTTTTTTCAAATATAATTAAGAATGTACTGACACTAGAAAAATATTGTTTTGCAAACAATTTTACCTTCACAATGCTTCCTTCCTGTCCCACGATAAACAACAACGTCCAACCTGGTCACTGTGGCAGTGAAACAGTAGGAAAGCACATCATTTATCGTATTTGAATTCAATTGGCGTCACTGTGTGTACGATAACACTGTGGGAATGCATGAGGAGGGAAGTACAGGTATTACCCCTTCTCTTTAAAACACCCACATTTCCCCGAAAAACTCATTCACATTCGCACATTCAGCACGAAACCAAGTCAACAAAGAGGAGGATCTCAGGTCTCCTCACCTCTGTTCGATGGTTTTGAATCAGTGGTGCCTCTGACACATCTGCTCAGAAGTGCAGCGCAAGGGCCTACGTCGAAATCACAGATAAACCATTGATATTTGACTTCATAAATGTGAGTAAAACCCTATCGTTGTTACTGACGTGAACTCCTCGTGACACATTCGGAGTCGAAGTCGAAATACAGTGCAATTACGTGAAATAATAA